GTTTGCTCGAAGCTGCTCATTCATGTATTGTTCTCTCGTTATTTTGCTTATCGTATTTGTTATTGTTTATTGCATCATCGCGTATGATTATGAGTTTTCAAAATAACTGGCTTCGCGAGGCATGTAAGTCCAACTTTCAAAGTTGTATCATGCATATCATTTGCATCTTGCCCCAGAACTACACTGGTTTGATACCTTACAAAGGGATACGTAGGCAGCCTGAGGGCACAACCATTTATTTCTGTCTTAATTATTTATCCAAGTCCTACGGCCTTGTCAAAATGGGTCGTCTTCGGGCTTTGACATTCACTCATGTCATTTCTTGACTCTGAGTTCTGTCAAAGAGAGGCAACTGTAGACACCCCATTTTTGACGGCCCTTACGACTTGGGCATTCTCGCACGCACACTCGATGATGAGTCTGTTTGCTCGCCAAGCACTCGAAGTCCTCAGCGAAATGCCACGACTCTGAGCCTTACAAACCTTGATAGCCTTTCAAACCCAGTTTTGGACCAAGTCTATCTTTTTCAGCCTGCAACCTCTAGTGGCCTGCTGGCCACTGCTAGAGACTTGTTGGCCACCCCTTTTTGCTTGTTGACCTGCTACCGACCACTGATGTGGCTTGTCGGCCACTAGTGATGGTTTACTGACCACCACTGATTGGCAACCAGCTACTAGTGTATTTTGCATATATTTTATGCCAGCTGTGCCAGCTGTTTGCACAGATGCATGCATCTATCCCCACGTGTAGGGCTGGATCTTCTTCAGGGAAATTCATGTTTTCTATATATATAGGGACCCCCTCTCTCTTATAGCAAGGTTAGAAAATTTTAAACTCAAAAATTTTCCTCTCTCTCTACAAGTTCCCTAATCTCTACACTTTTGCCTACAATTCTTTAACCTTTGCCTATACGCCCTTAACCAAATCTCACCACATTTGAGCTGAGTTACTTTTGAGCTTGGTTTGTGCTTTAGAGGGTGTTGTTTGCTTGGTTTTGTTGCTTGGAGTTGCTCTTCTCTTCAAAGGTATAAGACTTTGCTTGTAGCTTTGTTTTATTTGCTTCTACTCCTACTATTTTTCCATTGTTTTGGGCTATTAAAACTCTGTGTGTTTTGGGCTGAAGCTTAGGTTTAAGGCCATTAAAGGTTGAGAGGTTGATAGCCCTTTTTTGTACCTTGTTTTGGAAGTCTTTGCCCTTGTGTTTCCCACCCTTAAACACTGATTTTTAGAACTTTTTCAATAGCCAAAATCATGTTTTGAAGTCCAAATTTTGAGGGCTTAGCCTCCCCTCCTTGTGTCTTGCTTACTAGTCTAGCATGTGCCATGTTTTAGAATTTTAATCTAGCTTGTTTTAGCTCAATTCCAACATGATTTAACCTTTGATTTGGACTATTTTAACTCTATTTTGGGTTAGTTAATTCATTTGAGCTTTGGTTTTCATGTTTGTGGTGTAATTGTCCTCATGAGTTTGGTATTCTAGGCCTTAGACACCATCTTGTTTGAGTTGATAACATTTATTTATGCTTTTCTCACTTATTTTCAGCACCTAACAATCTCTGCGACCTCCCTCCTTTCTTGGCTTTCTGTTTTGCTTTGAAAGTGGTTCAAACAACTTGTTTGTTTAAAGGATTCATACTTAATGGTTTAATCCTTTAGGGGGTTCATTACCAATGGTATAATGCTTCTTTCATACCCAAAGCAACTTGTGTTTTGAGCCCTCTTTCTATTAGAGGACTTTAATTCACCAATGGACTTAATTTAATTAAGGAATGGTTAGTGAAGCAAAATGAGTAATTAAAACTTGGGACTAAAAAGTAAGCAAGATAATAATTTGGGTGTGTTCAATCGGACGTTAATTGAACACATGGAAACTTGAACCATTTCATACTCATTAGTGATGAAATGATTCAAGGATCCAAGGTCACCACTTCCCTTGATCTTTCATGAAAGGGAGGAGGTTTGTGTCTTTTTTTTTCTTGCATTTATTGAAGTTGCACTCTTGGGTACACAAGCCATCATGCAATGAAATTGCTTGAATTGGTGGTTTGTGGCTTAGGTTCACCACTCCTTTGATTTCCTCATGAAAATGAGGGGTGGATTGTGCAAACAAACCCTTGAAATACCCTGTATATGCTCTGTTTGTCTTCTGTTGCAGCAAGCTGAACTTGAGCATCAGTGGCTGGCAGACCATCATCCATGGCCGGCAGCCTTCAACCATAGCCGGCTGGTGGCCAGCAGCATTTACCAGTGGCCGGCCAGCCACTGATGCAAAACACAACAGAGTGTTGTTAGGGTAGAGCAGAGTGAGCAGCAGTATTGGTGTTCAATTATGCAAACAAAGGCATTCTGAAGCAAACAAAGGTCTTTTCGGGTGGAAACCGAGCATGTGCATGCACATCCCTCGTTTCCCGAGGCAGAGTAGTTAGCTTGTTTTGTTGTAATAATTAATTAATTAACTTAGAATAGTTAGTTAATTTATTTCAAGTGTTGTAATAAGTGGTTAAGTAGTTTAGCTATTTATTCATTTGGTTTGTAATAATTAGCTTAGCTTAGCTTAATTAGCTAGTTAGCTTAGTTCATTCGGACCATCTTGCGTGAGGGCGTCAATGTTGTAATAATGTGTATGTCTTCCAACCCCACATTTTTCTCCTTTTTATTTAACTGCTTATGATGGTTAGTTTAGGGACATCACACTTTGTTTAGCATACCTTATACTTGCATCTATTCATCTTGTATTGCATGCACCGAGGCTTGGCGCATCATTCTAACTGCATTGTCGTTTCAATACTTCATTGAATACGTGTTTAAATGCATGCTATGAAATTGTTGCAAATAACATGTTAAGTAGCCGAGCCTATTTTAGTTGTTTTATCGCATGTGTTGCATTAGACATTTGGCATAGTTAGGAATCATGCATATTTTTCTAACTCTTTTATCTTAGCTTGGAGCACTAAGTGAGTTTTTGGTGTTTTAGCATACTTGTATGAGTGTGAATGACTGTCATGACTAGCATGCTTGCCATGAGGCTAAGTGCTTACTTGTTTAAACTGTTTGAGTGCTTATGGATGAAGGCTCGTTGCTTGAATTGGAATGATTCAATGAATGTATGTTTAAAGCCCACTTTGTCAAGTGGAAAATTCACAAATTTTAAGCCCACTTTGTTAAAGTGGCAAAATCAAACTCTTTTTGAAAAACAAAACATGAAATTGAATTGTTCCAATTCAGGCAAACTAGTCTATACCTTGTGTACGCATCACATAGTAAATGCTAGCCTAATAACCGGAACAAGAGCTTATAGTGTTGATAAAAATCATATCATGATTAGTAGAGGCCGATCTTTGATCGGGCGAGCGGGGGTGCTCAAATGTATTCATGACCTTCCCCTCTCGTACCCAAGTTCCCGAGTCGAAGCAACTTTTGTGATGACGGACACGTGGCCTTTGGCACGAGTCATGGGTTTCCTAAATTTCCCCAAAATAAAAAATATTTAGGTGACGACTCTATATTTGGAAAATCAGTCCAATTTTGACATTTTTTATTCAAAATCAATTTTCCAAACAATTTTTCGGATTTAGACTCTTTGGTTTTTATCAATTTCACATTGCACTTGTGATATTAGATTCAGAACCACAGGAGTTCGAACTGTAGGGCTTATTTTGAGTTTTCGAAAGGGGGTGCGAAAAAGTCAAGCTACAATATGCCAGGTATACCTTGAATTTTGCATACAAAAAAGTGAAATAGAGTTGCAGTTGCGAGAGTGATGAAGTATTAACCTGATGAAATCACGTCCCAGGTTTCATATCCCATAACTTAAAATCCTTCATATTTGAATTGCAATAAATGAGTTGATAAATGATAAATTCTTTTGGTGTTTTTGTTCCTACCATTACATAATGAACTGTCACATGGAATTTTTATATTCAGAATTTTGCATTTTGTAGCAGCTACACCACTTATTTTCAATTAATGATATAATTGCTTATTTCCAGGGGCTCATAACAGGCTCATTACATCACCACCTGTTGCTGTTTTTCCTCACCCCCTTGCAAGTGATCTTAGTTTCTCAAGGTTTGTAATGTAGAGGTTCAAAAATGTTTTTACTGGAATATGGACATTAAATCTCAAATAAAAACTACACTATCTCATCTCAACTTTTTTACTTGTGCAGGTACTAGCAATAAGCATCTAGAATTTAATAATAGCCCATTGAAACATAATGTGAGATTAAGGGGATTGCTAGCCTAATTCGATCAGGTAGGAAAAGTGTGTTGAGCAGTATACTTGCTATAGAATGCATCTTATATAGTTTTTAATTAATTTCATCAAAACTATCGGATTACTAGAAACTCCTTGTTGTCGTATGTTTGTAGTGCCATGGCACGTTTATTCAAGACTTCTACTGTGTGTCTGTTTTACTTGTGATACAATTTCTTGTATCAAAATAGTTTTCTAGTTGGAATCAAAAGCTCAAGCTAGAGATTAAAGTGTTGGGAGTTCAACTTATTTCTTCCGCAGTGATGATTCTTGTTCGCACTTTCATGGTTGCTTGGTAAACTTAGATGAGTTGTTGTTACTGCTGCTGCTGCTGTAACAGTAGTAATTGCAACAATTGAAGTTATTTCCAATGATTTGAGGTTGCAACATATAATGCAATTTTCTTTATCATGTAGTTGTTATTTTAAATTTAATGGTCAATTTGTATGAGTCTTTCAAGTAATTTTCAATGTATTCAGTATTCTCACATTTTTAACCTTTGTTTTTATTTTGATACATTTTCCCCCCTTTAGGATTTGATTTCCCCCCTTTTTCTTTTGCATTTTGCCATTGTTGGGATCTTAGTGATACTTCTTGATACTTGAACCACAATTTCAAAAGTTTGAAAGGTCCCATTCTTCTTTGAATCTTGGTGATATACTTCTTGATACTTGAGACCACAGTTTTGGAAGTTTGAAAGATCCCCCTTTATTATATTTTGTGTGGTAGAATTTTGTGTTATCAGCTAGCATATGATGAGTTACTCGGATTTCCCTTCAAGACGTCATGGGTGATGTAAAATCGAGTTTCTGATGAGCTTATAAGCTATTTTGAATAGATATGGCATTAGTAGCTTATTTTTAAGTTGAGATGGTTCCACTTGAAGGGAGCTCATGTACTGAGTGAGTTCAATTACGATGGTAGTGAACTAGAAATTTGATCTGTGCTATCCAATGGATACTTAAAGGTAGCTGTCTACTTTTGTGTCCATTTTGTTTAAGATAAGCTACAGAAACCAAGAATCGTTGATCTTGTATTGTCCTAACACATGGTTGCATAAAGTATCTGATTTAGGTGATGCCACCTAGGCCTCACCTAGCTGTGACATGTTTGGTGGCTCTTCAAGTCTGGGTGTTGGTATGATGAATGATGGTCAGATGGATCCCCAATCCCATTCTTTAGTTATTTATTTTATTAGATGCAACACACATTTCATTAGAGGTTCAGAATTACTAAGCCACAACTTGTCTATGCTTTACTGTAATTGTTTTTGGTTTTATTTGAGGTTTTATGTTTCTTACTATTACATATGTTTAGAGAAAATTACCAAGTTTGGTACATGGTGATGGGTTCTATTGAGGTTTCATGCTTTACTGTAATCATATATATATATATTTTTTTATAATTGTAAATGCAATGTTATTCAATAAAATATTAATGGATATTATGTTTTTGTTACAGATTGATCATGTTAGCATGGATGCAATGATGTTTTTGGGCCAAATTGATGATGTTTGCATGGGCGCAATTTACATTATATTTTTGTTTATTCTTAACATGTACACCTGATATGTTTTGCTATTAAGGTTTTTTTTAATTTGGATTTTAATTGTTGATTTGGATAGTATATGTATTTGTTGGATTATACTATGTTTATGGATTCTTATTTTCTTGGGCGACCAAATATATTAGTCGCAAAAGTAAAATTTCTTGTAGTGTATATCGAGTATTTTTCATTTTACGTCCACCTTAAGCTTATGTTTCAATTATGAATTTGCATCTGTGGAGACTTGTATATGGAAAAGAAGTGAAAAAGAAAACTGTAAGGGGGGAAAAAAATGAAGCGACAAAAACCAAAAAAAAAAAAACAAAAACAAATAAGGTTAAATTAGTCTTTTTACGATGTGTGATAGCTGATGATTACAAATTTCATGTTGGATATTCCCTCATTTTATGAATACAAGTATTCTTTATGATAAAAAAATTAGTAGAATCTAGTTTGACTATAATCAGAGAATTGAAATTTAATAGAAGATGATGAAGATTTGGAGGCAAAACACAGGATGAAGATGAAGATGAATTTGAAAGTGGATTTGCCATTGAAAGACCTTCACTCGTTGGAGTTGAAGTGCTCTGATATCATAACAGAAAAGTGAAGAAGATATTTTCCTTATTTCATGGAATGCATTGTTACAGATATTTATAGACAATACTCTAATGAATTCTGTTACACCAGTATATCTAACTAATCTTGACTATCACAATTGTATCTAACTAATCTTGCTCCAGGTGGCTTAGTGTAACTGTCATACACATGCTGAAGAGTTGGTTGCAGCTTTAGCTCAGTTTGGGACGTTGATGACATTCTATTCACCGGCAGTTGATTCTACTCTTATTGAGGCCCTCCTTTCTCACATGCATACAGTTTTCTCTATGAAGGAATTAGGCCTTGTGTCCTATTTTTTGGTCATTTCTGTTCACTCTCATTCTCATGGCTATTTTCTATCCCAACAAAAATATGTTGGTGAGCTTTTTCTTAGGGCTGGCATGGTTGATTGCAAGCCTACCCCACTCCCATGGCTCTTAAATCTTCTACCGCCACAGCTAACAGTTTGCCATTTTCCCAGCCCTCTTTGTATCGCAGTTTGATTAGTGGTTTGCAATACTTAACTATCACTCGGCTTGACATTGCTCTGGCTGTCAACCAGGCTTGCCAACACATGCAATGTCCCACTAATGCCCATTTTGCTTTGGTAAAGCGACTGCTCCGTTACGTTAAAGGCACTTTGGCTCAAGGTTTATCTTTTACTCCTGGTCCATTTATCCTTACCTCCTACACTGATTCCAATTGGGCTGGTGACTGTCTTGATCGCCGTTCTACCTCGGGGTTTTGTGTTTTTCTTGGCCTTAATCTCATCTCTTGGTATGCTAAAAAGCAATTTACTGTGTCTCATTCATCCACTAAAGCTGAGTACCGCTCCATGGCTTATACGACTGCTGAATTATGCTGGCTTCAACAGTTACTTAAGGATTTCTCAATTCCATGTTTTGTTCCTCCTGTGTTATGGTGTGACAATATTTCGGCTATGGTTCTGGCCTCGAATCCTGTTTTTTCACTCTTGGTCGAAGCATATCGAAGTTGACTGTCATTTTATTCGCGAGCGTGTTTCTTTCAAGCAACTTACTCTTTCCTATGTTCCTACCACTAATCAACTCGCTGACATCTTCACCAAACCATTGACTACTGCTCGATTTCACTACCTTAAAGACAAACTCATGGTGCTTCCTAGCCCCATTAGTTTTCGGGAGGATGATAAGAAAATTAAAGCACATGTAACTATGACATCTCAAACTGAGCTAAAGCTGCAACCAACTCTTCAGCATGTGTATGACAGTTACACTAAGCCACCTGGAGCAAGATTAGTTAGATACAATTGTGATAGTCAAGATTAGTTAGATATACTGGTGTAACAGAATTCATTAGAGTATTGTCTATAAATATCTGTAACAATACATTCCATGAAATAAGGAAAATATCTTCTTCACTTTTCCGTTACTTTTTTATTTAATTTCTTTAAAAAAAAATTAAGGATAAAGGGTGGCATCCTTAGCAACATTCTGTAAGCGTCTCTACACATGGAACAGACACAAGGCTATAGAACCCATGCAAAGGTCTACCTCACTCCACCTAACAAGCGACTAGAACCCAAATACTTTCAACAAAAGTCTGAACTACTACCACCTCCTACAACAAGCTTCATGCAAATATTTGTTCCCTATGTATAAAAGTAAATATTTTTTAATTAGCTTCTGTACTGTTGTGGGTGTCTCGTACTCTATCTAGTTTCTACCTATGATCGTTAGTGTGTCACACCCCAAATCCGGGCATGACCGGCCGTGGCCCACAGGGACTTAGCCCAAGGCACACGTAAGCCTAAACACGAATCCAATCACATTGAACAACTGAACAATAGTCCAATAATAAATAACCAAAACTCAATCCAGACATGTCACAATTATAAACGGCAAAATCAACCGTAATCAAAAACCATCCAAACTTATGGGATATAAACAACCCACATATAAAAAATAATCCTAAATGAACTTCGATAAGAATAAATATAAATATGCACAAACTTGACATAACACTCTAAACAAAAGGAATGCCCTAGAGGTCCATGCAATTGAGTCCCCGCTACGCCATGAGTCCACTCTAAGTCCTCCTAACACCTGGAAGTGATAAAAACTAAGTCAGCTGATAGCTCAATCCCCCTCAAGGAGGCCCTCCCTTTGATCCCCTCTCTCTCTGATTGGCCAGTTTTTTTTTTTTTTCGTCTTTCCAAATGATTTGTCTGGCCGCTTAGTCGATAGAGAAATAGAGTTTACTGTTGACGTCATGTCGGGAACCCAGCCTATCTCCAAAACACCCTATAGAATGGCCATAGCTGAACTTAAGAACTGAAACTACAATTACAAGAATTGTTGGATAAGGGTTTTATTAGGCCGCGCACTTCGCCATGGGGAGCACCAGTTCTATTTGTCAAGAAGAAGGATGGTACACTTCATCTTTGTATCTACTACCGAGAGCTGAACAAGGTAACCATTAAGAATAAGTACCCATTGCCAAGGATCGACGATTTGCTTGATCAATTACAAGGGGCACGAGTCTTTTCTAAGATTGATCTCAGGTCGGGCTACCATCAGCTCAAGGTTAAAGCCGAGGATGTTGAGAAGACTGCTTTTCGGACGAGGTATGGCCACTACGAATTCTTAGTAATGCCTTTTGGAGTGACTAATGCTCCCGCAGCATTCATGGATCTGATGAACAGAGTCTTTAAGCCATATCTAGATGAGTTTGTAGTTGTCTTCATTGATGATATATTGATCTATTCTAAGAGTAAAGCTGAGCACATGAAGCATTTGGGACTTGCCTTACAAATCTTGAGGGACAGAAAATTATATGCCAAGCTTAGCAAGTGTGAGTTTTGGCTTTCCAGCATTTCATTTTTGGGGCATGTGATTAATGAAGAGGGTGTCTCTGTTGACCCAAGTAAGATTGAAGCCATTGTGAATTGGCCGACGCCGACTAACATTTCCAAGGTTCGTAGTTTTTTGGGTTTGGCCGGTTACTACATAAAGTTTATGAAGGACTTCTCAAAGATCGTAGTACCTTTTTGATGCAACTAACTCAGAAGGGAGTGGTGTATGAATGGACCGAGGACAGAGAATTAGCTTTTTAGGAGTTAAAGACGAGGTTAGTCACAACACCAGTTCTTGTACTACCGTCAGGTAATGAGAAATTTCAGATTTATAGTGATGCTTCACATAAGGGTTTGGGATGTGTGTTAATGCAATGGGGTAAAGTCATAGCATATGCATCTCATCAATTGAAACCTCATGAAAAGAACTATCCTACCCATGATCTAGAGCTAGCAGCCGTGGTATTTGCTTTGAAGACTTGGCGTCATTACTTGTATGGAGCCTCCTGCCAAGTTTTCACAGATCACAAGTGTAGGAACCCACATTCTATGTCCTCATCATGTTCATGAGCATCGGTATGATTATGACTTGTTTAGCTTGCATGTGTATGTTGTGATTTGTTTCGCTTGAGCTAATGTGATCCATGCCTTGTTTTGAAGCCTTGTGATTTGTCTAAGTGCAGTATGCTTGTCTTGTTCCTTCCTTGATGTGAAACTTAGGTCACGCCTTGCCTGAGTTATGCTAGCCGATGTTATTCCAAGCCGAGGTCATCCTTAGTCTAGTAGTAGCACCTTGGAACCCCTTGTTGACCTCCGTTCTCGCCTTAACACATTAGCC